ATATTGCAATATTCTTTTGCACACATACTGCCATTGACAATTGTTCGTGGTAAATTGTACACACCAGTCTTGTTTGATGATGTTATTCGAAAATATGGATTCTGATCGATTTCTTCTATTATACCAATCCATACTTGACTATTCTCTTGACTTGTTACAGCAATATAAGTTAATGTGTTTTGTTTATAAGCGGATATTGCAGAATAATCACGAAATTTAACATCAAATGGTAGATTAATTATTCCTACTGATACCCATTGACAAGAATCTAGAATGATTGAAAAATAAATTATTTTTTCTTAAAGAAAAATCGTTCACCAACTATTATGAGTCGTTTCATGTTTGTCTAACACAACAAGTTTTCCATTTCCAAGGCTAGTAACTGGGTCTTCAGAATTGGATTGAGGCTTACATTTATTCCCTTCACATAATGCAAGCAAATAATTTTTATTTCTCTTGTGATGCATCATAAATTCGAGACCTTCAAATCCTTTAGAAGTCGACTCAAATGTCCAATTTATTCGACATGATTGAATAAGATTTATAGACGAAAATGTAACATTTGTTATTATTTGAACTTCAAAAATATTTGAATTATATTCAGTTGAACTAACATTAGATGGAATTGTTTCTTGTACAATAAAATACGTGTCAGTTAATGAATTGTAAGCTATACCTTCGAATTCTGAATTGAGTTTATTAAATGTATTATCAGGCCAATCGAGCAGTTTATTAGTACAATTTATAGTTCGAATAGCCAGCCAAGTACAAAAGACACCAATTTGAAATGTATTATCAAATATGATATACATAATAAGAGTATCCGGTCGAAGTACAACACCTGACGTTTCGAAAGCATCGGGAATATTAGATTCATTTCTTTCGTTTTCATAGTACCTTAGAATACAAAATAAACGTTCTTTAGAATCAAAGAAAACAATGAATATCATACAATGAATCACGGATATTTTGTTCATGTAATAATATTAATGTTTGATTTCTATTACATTGTTCTTCTTGTCCATAAATATTAATAGAATAGATTATAATTAAAATGAATTGCATGGCAAGAATCAATTTGTGTAGTTTCATTTTAATTTTTGGTATTGTGCTTGTGTGTTGATCAATGTAAAACTAAAAGTTTTCAGCTCAGTCCATACAGAATAAACATATGAAACACAATAGAACCACTTTAATTCTTTACAATGATCCTCACTTTATTGATCGCCATCCGCTAGAGGAGGTAGTACTAAGTTTTTATTCATAAAAGAAAAGGTTATTACTACTGCTTTCATTTATTACTATCTACTCTAACACAAAATTTTCTTAATATGATTTTCATTCTTGATACTTACGATGGTGATCGGAATTACATAATTTGAAAGTGATTTTGGAACAAAAGCTCAGATATGTCTTCTTGTGTCGCATATGTATTGTTTATCTCTATGAGCTTCATCCATCAGATAAATACTTCTGAAGATTGTAACAGAATGATTGAAAATCATTCAGAGGAATTGTATACCTTACAAGTCGAATAAAACAAAGATTCGTGCAAGAAATATTTGTTCAATGAAAATACTGTAAATGTCTTATGTTTCCACTCAAATTCATCATGACAATACAAGTTTGTTAGTTCGAGATAGGAGACAACAAGAAAGATGGCTTTCATCGATATTAGTTGTAAATTATGTTTGGAAAGAACAAAAAAAAACCTATTCATGTTAAAGTGCACTATGCATCAAATGAATAAGTTATAAACATATTCAAACTTTTATTAAAGACGAGCCAACTAATATTTCGCGGTATAGGCTAAAATTTGAGTGAAGTATTGTACCGGTCGATACACAAACATCTAATATTCTTTTCCCTCTTAAAAATAATCTCTTCGATTGAACTGAACATATAATAAATGTAATGCTCAGACTATGAAAAACTAGAAATTCTGTGAAGAATTGGAATATGCTCTGCAAGATTAATCATTGTATGGAAAAAATTAATCGAGTTCGTACGCCAATGCTATGCTATCTAAAACTGTTTCAACTTGCCCAAGCAATTTTTTAGTCAAGGTAAACTGATTTTTATTCATTTACGTTTCGCATGTTTATTAGACAATTATTGTTTTATTTCCTATTATTCAAAGGCATTCTTCTGTGCTGTATTCATATATTTATGTCGAGAATAGCTCTCTGTAACAGTATATTTTTCAGTGTGATATCACAAAATGTTTCACTATATGTTAGAAGATTTTCATTTCATAAAAAGGCGCTTTTACTCGCAATAGAAAATCCACTGTTCATTTAACTTGTTTGTTAAATAACTTATTTTTTCGCAAAAAGCGCATTGTAAGTAGACAAGATGAGTTTATGTGCATTAAAATAAAAATAAACGATGTTTTTAAACGCAAAAATAGCATTTTTCTCTGAAACTTTCCATTACATCGCTGTTTTGCATAGCTATTTTTCTCATAGATTAATAAATTTTCACATATATGATGTTCAACAATGGATTACTGACTAGAAAGTTTAATCTTTTTTCAAATGAACAAAAAGAAAGAGATTGTTTCCAAGTTTTTTTTCACGAAAATACTCTAAAATAAAACTATAGCATAATCATGTTAGTTACCTGGCGTAATCTGTGTTGTAGCTATAATATCGAATGCTGAAGGAGATTTTTCTTAGACGTGTTATTTTTGATAAGAACAATTTAAGTAAAAAGATACTAATGCAAGTCACAAGATATTGTTAAGACGAATATGATCCATTAGCATACAACTTAGATATTAATCTATATTGACAATAACAAACACGTTCTTTTTTTAATCCAAGAAGTATTCGAACATTATCGAATATTTAAGAACTCATTGATAAAGACGTTAAATAGAAAAAGAAAAGAAGAATCGATAACTAATGAAGAGTGATACTCTCGAAAAACTTGATGTCCTCTATTCCAAACTAGTACTCAACATGTCCAACAGTCGTAGCTGGTAGGATATGACCTACACCACTTATTAGATGTAGATATGATAGCCATCGAAGTGAACACAACGCATTAATTTACAGTAATTATGCCATAGTGTCTAGAAAAGTTATCAGATGCATTATCTCAATAAAGAGCACGGGATGGATCGATAAGTAATCTATCTGTAGATTATTACTTTTCAGCACACATTCACTTTGTCATTGAAATTGACTCAGGAAAACTAAGAGTTAAGATGTTAATTTTCTGCAATTTTTCACCATACTGAAAATGCATGCATCATCAAAGTAGAATAATCGATTCTATAAAGATCACAGTTCGGAGCGACACATTTATTTGACTTTTCATAAATAAGAAAACGTCGTTATAATCAGTTAGGTCCAGTTATAGAATTTCGAGTTCTTTCTTCAAGTTTATGATTTTTTATAGTATACCGACGATTGAGCCCGTGAACATTGAGCCTAGAATGAAGAACACTATGCAAGTTCAGTTTACTCCTACAAGTAATTATTGGCATTATAAGCTTGAAAAAAGTTCTTGATCTTTTACATAGTTTGTGCCTTTTCTTTTTTTCCAGCTTTTAATCTCGAATCTGCAAGGAAATTTACACATTTTTCCATTTCAAGGTTTTTCATGAAAGCACTAAGATATGGTTTATCGAAGTTAAATACCTCACATTCGATTGTGACTGAGAGTTTTCGAACTGGAATAATGAAGATGTTATTTGTGAATATATGAACCAATAGATAGAACAGTTAATCACTACGTTTCCTAGTTAAACAAGAGGCAATGCTTTTAAAAGATCGAAAACTTTTTTCATTTGTGATCTCAATAATTGTTTATATGAATAAACTGAAGTTACCTGGTGTTCTATAAGTACTAGACTCAACTACTCTGTTATCGATCTATAGAATGTCAAAATTTCTTAGTGAAAATCGAAAATTTTTGCTTTTAAAAAGTTGAGTAAATATGCCATTCATAACGACAATATCGCTGAAATTCATAGATTAATTGTTACAACATGTGAATGAACAATACAGATAATCAGTTTGTCGTTTAGTCTTCTTATTTTGCAGATCCTTAAAATTTTATAATAAACATAGAGCATCGATGTTACAGAATTTTCAATGTTACAAAAAAGTGTAAACACCTTTACAAACAATACAAAAAGTAGTTCATAAAGACCAAAATGCCATCAGTAAGACTAGGGCAAGATACAGAGTCTTCGAAGGATTAAGATGTTGGATTTTTTGGGCAGTATATCTCAGAATGATAACATGATCTGCTTTGCTTCGGCCAATTTGACACCCTCAGAAGCCATGATGGTGATTTCTCCATCAGCCTTTACCCTCAGCTTCAGAAATGCACAATTGGTTACCTGCCAGCGAAGTCCAGGACGAAAGTCCAAGTGATAAAGTATGCTTCGCAAGATACCACCATGGCTAGAAAGTAAAATTGGATCATCACTTATCGGTGTAGAAAATGCAATGGATCGGATAAAAGTTTGTAGTCGTTGATATGCATCAGAATAGCTTTCAGCAGTATCATCCCATTTAAACGACAAATATTCCTCTTGCGTGAAATTGTCAACATCGATAGTTTGTTCCAAGTGTGTTTTTAATTCACCAGCAAAACGTCCTTCCCATGTTCCCAAGCATCTTTCTCGAAGCAGTGGTGTTTCATTAATAGTTGATTTGTTCGAACCGAGAATCAGTTCAGCAGTTGAACGCGCTCGTATCAAATCGGATGAGAATACTTTTGAAAAATGAATGCCAGCGAACTTTTCTTGAAGTTGACAAGCCTGCAATTTGCCTTTCGCACTTAACGCAATATCTGTGTGTCCTTGAAGTCTCTTTTGAGTGTTCCAATCAGTTTCACCATGTCTTACTATGTAGATATTAAAGAAAGTATTTCGGGTAATGACGGTGAGTCCGTGAATTTTGTAAGCATGATGAATGTTTTCAATTTCAGTTTCTAATCTACGAACTACTATATTTATTTCATCCGATTTCCAGGACACTTTTTTATCGTGATCTGATTCGCTCGGAGATGAAGTGTTCATATTGAAAAGTGTTCCAAGAATAGGACCATCTAATTGAACATCATCAATATATTTTCTTTCTGGATCGCCGCATCCAAACACATGACCATGGAGAAAAATTGGTTCTTGTGTTATACCCAGTTGAATGGTGACCGTTTTCGGATCTAACAAACGAGCATTATTTCCTGTAACTGCATTTTGAGCGATCGGTACAACACGATTATAGGCTTCTGTGACTAAAGTCATGGCTAACGCAAGACCAATTCTTTCTACTGAAGTATAATCTCGATTGATTGTTGAAAATATTTGGTCGTTATTGATCAATCGAACAATGGAGCGATAGCCACGTTTATCTTTAGGATGGAGATGGACCGCATAATTTGATTGTTCAAAGCATACAAGTGCGATCACTTTGGGATCGGTTAAAGTACAAGACTCCAAAGCCCAATGACAGGATGAGGCGCTGGTGATCTGTCGATTGTTTGAAGAAGATGATGATAGATTTTCAACAAGCAGATGTGCCATCAGAAGGACATAAAAAAAAGACGAAAGAACTAATCCAATGACAACATCTAAAAAGATACAATTAATAGTTCGATAAAATATACAAAGAATAAGAAAAATGCACAAACAAATAACTATTCATGTTAGACTTCATCTGTTGACGAACACGACATATTGAACTGAGTTTTCTATCATTTGCCTGTTCTTCAATTTCCGAAAGTCATATTTTTATTCTCTACTGTTGATTGTCGTTAAAAAATGACGAATATTATGTGATAATAATGTGCGAGTTTCTGCAATCAACATAAACTCTACGGTTTACCTTTACGAAACAAAAAAGATGACTAGTATAATAGATGAAATGGTCAGTTAATGATGAATTAGGTTGTAGGTGACGAGAATATTCATATTCACATTGTTTGAAGAACCACACATGCGAACGCGTTGTTGATATGCTATTCGTCTAAAATATCGTAAATGGACCAACAACAAGAGAGACAACTCCACTCGATGATACAGGAGAAAAGGTAGCCCAACAAAAGCAAAGATTGCTTTGCTAATACAAAAATTTATTTTTCTTATGAATTTTCTTTTTTTCTTTTTTAAATTTATTTTTAACATTCTTTTTTTGATTTCTTCTACTTATACTAGATTATATTTCATGCAGATAAAAAGTTCTACTAATAAAATCAACATTTTTCACTGGCTAAATTTGAAGTTTTGTCAGATGTCAAATGTATTTTTTTACTGCTCATTATATAATATTTTTGTAATTTAATACTAATAATTCGACAATTAATCACCCATTCTCTATACCGATCATTTACATATCGTTTTACTGATCAGTTTATCTGTTGTACTGATCACTTAAATCAGTCTTACCTTTATCATTTATTATTCTTCTTATTATTGATCTATCATTTCCAAAAAATGAAAAAAAAAAGAATAATGATATAACTGTTACCCTCTTGGAATATGCTTTTCTTGTGTTCTGTCGTTGCTGATTAGTAAAATAACAAAGTATGTATCGGCGATGATCGGTAGATGTCATGATGAAACGGCTTCACTGTGAGCTATTAGAAGAAATAGAATTCGAGAATATAAGGAGGAAGTGAGTTGGAAAAAAATTGGATTAGAATCGAGCAGAAAAAGATGGATTTTTCAAAGTTAAAATCTTGAAAGTGAGTCTTAGTAAATTACGAAAAGATACATCAATTAGATCATTTTTTCTATAGATATTCCCCAACTTTTTTAGGTTTCTGAATTATTGTGAGTCACCTAAAAAGTTGTACTTTGAAAAGAAACTTAAACAAGAATATTTCGTTGGTCTTAGTGTTTCGACGAGTAACTAAATTCGATTTTCTTACAGAACAAATGGTTAAGCATTGTCAGCAGAACAAAGAAAGATAACCGAGAAGATTTGATCGTATCTATCTTCAATGTTTATAAATTTTTTATCAAACAAAAATGATGATTGATTGATCATTAAAGAAAACTATTTGTTTCCCAGTAGTCTGTTTCTATTATCAGTATCTCTAGTAGGTTTTGAGGAATGACGATATTTTTTATGATCTTTCTGTTTTCGTATACTTTTTTCGACAATGATTACTGTATTTTAAGATACTTAGACGAATAAACATATGCTGAAATTTTTTTGGTCAGTAGTAGAATAATCAGAATAGTTGTTGGTAGACATTTACAGCCTATTGTGCATAGATGTCTTATAAAGTTCGTCTACAATCGGTTTTCTCTAAAGCCACAAGTTACGACTAAAAAGTAAATGCACCTGTCATTTATAATAAAAACAAAACACATAACAGTGAAAAATTTTCTTTATTCGAAATCATATAAATCCAAAAGCAAATGATACTTCATGATATCAGTTTGCTACCAACATTTCATCAATTGATTGTTCTGTGAGGTTATTTTTCGATTTATCTTGTTTCGATTTCGAACTGCTGATCAGATCATTTTTGATAAGACGATAGAGAAGAACTACGTTAAGAAAACAAACAGCAAGAGTAGCAACTGTTATGCATACGTGGACTTCTCGATTGAGTCTATGTCGCTGAAAATAAAGCGCATGCAAACAAACGCCTACAACGCCAAAACGGAAAATTATAAATGTCAAATAATTTCCGATTGTAACAAAAATGCAAAGCATTTGTGTGAACCTAACTGATAGTGATTTAGGTGAATACCATCGAAGAAGACGTCGTGCATGCAAAAACACACTATTAATTTCGAGTGAAAGACCATAGAGGGCGTAACCGAGGTTGCGCGTGTTAAAGAGTACATAACCTAAGAACAGAATAGCAGCAATGTGATGAATCAGAATACCCAATACAGGCAATGCCGAATTTTGTTTACAATCAACAAAGTCCCATAAAAAATAGCCAAGCGAAAATGCAGCTAATGCATAATTAAAACGGTTCGTGTGCGATAAAGGATCATCGAGCATTTCGGGTGCTCGTATAATGGCAATTATTACAAATATTGACGAGAGACAAGAATGAATAAAACTTATCAGTGTATTTCGTTGAGGCCAAGATGATGTTCTATGAGAAGAATCTTTGTTTGTTGCTGCCACACGTCTATTGACGATAAAAAAGAAAACAAATGATGGTAAAACATAGATTATCATCCATATAGGCGAAATTGGTCGATATGGAAATTTGTCAGATTCATGAAAATAGTGTTGCGCATGCGTATCATGTGTCATGTTGATGGTAGCGAACGAGACACACGTGTGTTCGTATGATTATAAATATGTCCGTGTTGGTGTCTATATGATTACAGATCTGTGCGTTGGCATTCGTTCTGTTCTCTTTCTAGTTTTGTAACGATGGCAACAAGAGAAAATTGTTCTGTTGGCAGCAATAATCTTGCTTTACTTCATCGTACATAACCGCATGCCTGCAACCATCATAATATATTTTACATTATTGAGGACAACATCGCGTTCTGTGTTATATTTACTACACACCAATCAATAATCATCACTGTACATTTACAACAACTATACTATACAAATGCCGTTATATTCGTGAGGAGGTGAGGATGTGGATCGAACTTCCTACTGAGTAAAATTCCTTCCAGATAAAATGACTCACGACAAAGTATCAAAAAGAAAACTTGTCTAATTGATACCAAATAATCGATTAAAAATTATACAATGGAACATTCGAAAGTATCGAAGGCTTTTTGAGCAAGGATTTAGTAGATCTTATTAATACTAATGAACTATGTTTAACATATAAAAAGAGTTCGTGTTTATGGCGTGTTTCTGAGGAGATCGAAAGTTTTCACTATTACAACTGGAAAAGTTATTATGTCAATCATTAAAGTTCAAACAAGCTAAGATTTTTCTTATAGGTAGATAAACTCATGTGGAAGAGAGTGTAGATGTCGGTATAGACATAGTGGATAGCCACACGCACACCTATAATGATAATTTAATCGCAGTTCACCTCTAGGAAATAATCCGATTATCGCTTGCTTTTTATGTTACTGCAAGACTACAGATACATGACGAATATCTTGTTTCAAAATTAATTTTTTCATTTGTAATAAATACGTATCAATGTCGCTCAGGCTAACCAATAGTAGTAAAATAAATATAATCATTGAAACTTTTAATCTCTTATCCAAAACCCATACCCTCACCCTCGTTGTTGGTAGCATATGAAATACTGTAAGAAATAGGTAGTCTCAGATTGTATTTAGATCCTGAACACCGTTGCTACCAATTATGGTCTTTTATATACACCGCGTGAACATAAATTTGACAAATGAGTGAACAACATTTAATGTACTGCTTGTCATGTTTCGTCGAAAGACACACACGTCAGTCATCGCAAAAATGGTGAAAACAATAATTTCTTACAAGTCTATTTCAAATTTTCAAAATCTTATCATGAAGATCTTTCATAGCTGTTTGTGAGAGATGCTCACAAATTATCCACATTCGTTCAGCTGTTGACTAATGTGGCGTCATAGCAAATAGCTTTTCCTGGAAGCAGCAAAATTCAGCCGTTTCTGAATGATATTGTTATTATTTCGAATTCACACTACTAGAATAGAATTTTATTAATGTCTGGTTCATAAAGTTTTCGATTTCACAAGGTTCTTTCAACATAATGCGAAAATTGTCTTCCTGGTGTCACGTCCAGATGCCGTTCAGAGTCCAAATGTCGAATGTGTCAATTATAATACTCTGATTCGTGGTCGAACCACTATTTACATAAACTGCTAAATGTTCGGCCGTATCATCTTCTGGATAGACACGCGTTGTGATTGCCATACGACCACCTTGTGGTTCAAACACTTCGATTACTGAATGATCAATGAAAATATGTAATCCAAGAAACCACTGATTGTTCAATGACTCAGACTCCAACAAGATCGTACCAGCAAGTGGAACACGTGATGCGCCGGGATTTTGTTGTGATAAGGTTCGATTAATATAGATCCACACAAGTTGTTGCTGATTTGTTTGGCGTTGTTTTATACCTGAGGTACATGTTGAGTCTGCTTCCAAATGCGGTATCCCCGTTTTAAGAAAACAATTGTTATTTACTTGTCGACTGCTGACAAAGGTCCATGTACGACATTTAGCATCCTGATTGCAAGCGTATTGACAATCAAACGAATTTGTAATACCTGGTACACTAAAATAGTCCCATCCAGGCAAATCCCAATTAGGCATAAACGTTGTGTTAGCTCTCGTCATCACACCAATGTTTGTTCGTTGGTTACCATTCGATGTTGAAAGAACACTTAATCCGAAATCTAAATCCTATGAAAAAATTCATCGAAAATTTGATCAGAACAGTCTGAAGGTATATTTACTTGATCTCTTGGAAATTGCCAGTTGACCATCACTTCAATTTGATTTCCACTCACATCAGGCACTAGTTCGAATGGTATTATTGATGATAAAACGATATTATGAAAGTATCGATGACTTTCTTCAATACGTAGACTTTGCAATGCTACTATTGGACGTGAACGAAGTTGCA